CCAGGACAGCTGGGGCTACAGGGAGAGCCTGTCTCAAAAAGACCAAAAAAACCAAAAAAGAACAAATCTGGGACTGAAGAGGTGGCTCAGTGGTCAGAGCCCTGGCTCCTCTCGCAGAGGACCCAGGTTTGAATCCCAGCACCCACATGGCGGCTAACAACCATCTGTAACTCTAGTTCCAGGGGCTCTGACACCCTCTTCTGACCTCCTTAGGCATTCACTACATGGCTACACTTACATACAGGTAGGCAATACACACATATACATAAAATAATAAAGTATTTTTAAAAGAACAAAGCTCAGATACTTTGGATACATACTATCTTACGCATTATTCTGGATGAAAGAAGCTAATTACCAGGAGAATCACAAGTCCAAGGCCAGCCTGGGAAACATAGTGGCCAGCCTAGACAAATGAGTGAGATCCTACCTCAAAAACAAAGCAAACAACAACGAAAAAATAGAAGTACATCAAAGAGAACACAAAAACCTGTTTATAAACAACCACAACCAGTCACAAAAGGCCACATATTGCACAACTATATGTACATGAAATTTCCAGAATGAGGAAACTCAAACAGGATGCACATCAGTGGCCAGCTAGGGTTGGTGGGCTCAGGGCAGAATGGAGAATAATTGCTAATAAACACAGATATCATTTGCAAGATCAAACTGTGCTAGAATTAGACAGGCATATCATACAGCTTGGTGAATCTATTAAAAGCCATTCAATACACAGCTTACAGGGCTGGGTTCTGTGGCACATGAGATGTCAATGAAACTGCTGCACAAGATGTCACACAGCAGGACTGCAGTGTCTGCTCTGCAACACTGGAATGCAGGCCTCCTGCACTGAAACTGCTCACCCCTCGCCATGCTTGGACCATGGCTTCCTTTCTTGCCCCTTTTGCTTGACAGACAGGCCTGGAACTCGTAAGTCACCTGCCTCAGTCTCCTCAGTGCCAGGACCGTAGGCATGTGCTCAGTGGCACTGACTTTTGCTAAAGGTGCTTCTCAAATCATCTGCTCTGGGTACCACCCTCTGAGGCAAAGAATAACAGAGTTTCCCAGCATGCACTGTACACAGATGACAGATTATGACCTTTGGGGGCTTTAATTGCTACAATGTTGAAGGAGATGGCAGTCCCAATTGAATTTTACAGAAAACAATGACATTAGCAACATTAATTTATTTACCTAGGGCACTTGGGCTGAATTGGCCACTATACTCACTACAGTGGGTGAAGTGTGTCTCTCACCAGAAGATAGAATAAAGCAAAGTCATCCTGGACTAGGGTGTGCTTTATAACAAGAAGGGAAGCTGCACACAGACATTCGGTGGAGGCCATGAGGAACGAGGAAGAGACCCATGGGGATGCACCCATGAGCCAGGGACACCTAAGACTCTGGCAGCACCCAGTTAAGAAGGGCAGAGACCGGGCCTACTGAACGCAACTCTGTACTTCTGGCTTCCAGAGCCACGAGAGAATACCTGCCTGTGACCCCAGTGACCCCCTATGACCCATCTTTACATCCTGAGCCTTAGTGATTTCAACTTCTTAAACATTTTGCTTATTTTTTTTGTGGTGCCAGGAACTGAACATGAACATCACTAACCCTTAAGGGTTTTGTTTGTTGAGACAAAGTCTTACTATGTAGACCAGGCTGGCCTTGAGCTTACAGAGATCCACTGTGTTTGCTTCCATGGCTGAGATTTAAGCCACATACCACCACGCCCGTCCCTCAAAGGGTTTTAAGTTAAAAAAGAAAACCAAGAGCAGAGAGCAGGGCCTTTGTGTCTGCACCTGCCCTAGGGTAAAGCCCCACCTGGCTCCATTCTGAAACCTATTCTGACTACTGTGTCCAAGGCCAACAAAACTCCTTGTGAATCAGGTTTTGGGGCAGGAGAGATGGCTCAGCAGTTAAGACAGGACCAGAGTTAGAGTCTCAGCACCCACACGGTGGTTACCAACCATCTGTAACTCTAGTTCCAGGGGATCCGATGCCCTCTTCTGACCTCCATGGGCATTGCAAAACACAGGTGCACTTACATACATGTAGGCAATACATTCATACACATAAAATAAAAATAATAAATAAAATACTTAAAAAAAAAAAGGATCATGGGGCTGGAGAGATGGCTCAACAGTTTAGAACACTGACTGTTCTAGCCAGGCATGGTGGCGCACGCCTGTAGTCCCAGCACTTGGGAGGCAGAGGCAGGTGGATCTCTGTGAGTTCAAGGCCAGCCTGGTCTATATACTGAGTTCCAGGACAGCTGAGGCTACAGGGAGACCCTGTCTCAAAACGACAAAAACAAACAAACAAACAAACCCAAAAACAAACATTGGCTGTTCTTACAAAAGACCTGGATTTGAATCCCAGCACCCACATGGCAGCTGACAACTGTCCGTAACTCTAGTTCCAGGGGATCCGACAGCCTCTTCTGTCCTCCATGGGCATTGCACAACATGGGTGCACTTACCTACATGCAGGCAATACACACATACACATAAAATAAAAATAATAAAATATTAAAAAAAAAAAAAACATCAGAAGGTTTCCTGATGTCCTGTGCTTATTTTACTTGCTGTCCACCTGTTTCCTTTGTCTGATACTGTAAATGCTACTGGTTTGCACCGTTTATTCCATGAAGCAAATACCCAGAGAGCACTCAGTCAATCTAGCCTGTCTCTAAACCATGTTGGAAAGAGAACACTAAGTATTAACAGCTGCCTTCTACTCCGTTAAACAGAGGCTGGCACACACCTGTAGTACCAGCTACTCTGGAGACCAGGCAGCCAACTGGATGTCTGCACCAAGTTTGGCATCAGTGGTGACCTCCCTGGAGCAGATGATCACCACATTGCCTAAGAGGAGTGAACTGGCTCAGTTCAGAAAAATATACTCAAAATACCCCGAATTTCAAAATACTCCAAATTTCTCCAAAGCACAAAAATCTTATTTAAGATCCATGGGTAACAAAACATTTACTGATTTTAAAAAGTTTAAAAAAATTATTTATAATTCTGTGTCTGTGTACTGGTGTTTGTGCATATGAGCACAGTGCTTGTGGAGCCAGAGGTGTGGGATCCCCTGGAGCTGGAAATACAGGTGGTTGTGAGTCACCCAGTATGGATGCTGGGAACTTAACTCCAGTCCTCTGAAGAGCAGCAAACACTCTTAAACATTGAGCCATTTCTCCAGTCCATCGGTGCAGCCCAGCTGATCTCAAACCTGCTGCCACCTCTTCAGCATAGCCTACTGGTGTGTGCCACCCAACTAGCCTTAGTACTAACATTACTAGTAGACATGTTGTATGCACTCTACAATGATACAGTGTAGTACCAGATAGGATACATCTTTCTTCTATAATATGCGTGCAGAAGCCAGAAGAGGGTGTCAGATTCCCTGGAACTGGAGTCATGAATGGTTAGTTGCCATGTGGGTGCTGGGAACCAAATCCAGGTCCTCTGAAAGAGGAGTCAATGCTCTTAACCATTGAACCATCTCTCCAGTCTGTTTCTTTCTTTATTTTAAGACCTATAACGGTCTGGAGGAGTGGCATGCGCCTTTAATTGTAGCAGTTAGGAGGCAGTGGCTCTGTGAGCTCTAGGCCAGTCGGTCTACATAGCAAGTTCTGGGCCTGGCAAGGCTAGTAAGACCCTGCCTCAAAAAAAAGAACTGTAATTCAAATTGAAAATAAACAAAAACAGTTGTCAAAGCGGTCAGGGGATGAAGGCAGGCACACTGCCTCCCTCTTATCTGTAAGAGTTCTTGGCTGCCTTGCAGCAACTGGCTGGGTCACGCTATCCTTGAACCTCAAGCTAAAGGCCTCATAATGGGTTTCTGAGTCTGTGAATTCTTTCCAGTGTCATCTCAGTAAGTACTGGTTAGTTAAAGCCAGATAGCAGAGGCATAGCCCTTGGACACATCCCAGGTGCACTGGGCCTTCCAGTATATAAGTGCAGCTGTCCCTTGGGAACAGATTAGAACACTCATCTAGGATACCAATTAAGAATGCATTTCAAAAACCAAAACCAAACCACAACAAAAAAAATGCATTTAAACTCCTGACTTACTAGACTAGTCTCCTACCCATATTCCTCCACAGTTAGAATAACCAACATTTTTACTTAAAACACAAGCAAACAAACACAACCTAGAAATATAAGCTTGTATACGAAAGCTCTACATTAAAAAATGTTAGCAACCAGTAAAAATAACATTTTTGGGGGACTACAGGTTATTTATCTGGGAGCAATTCCAATACTGGCCCCTAAGGAGAAGTGTGCCCTTGTTTTGTTTCTGACCTGAACTAAAAACAGTTCACCAGAAGGGCTTTATCAATAAATCCAAAGTCTGAATTCAGTTACAGAATTGTCTTTAATCATGCAACATATCCACACCACATTGAACAACCATGGCCTTTTTGGGGTTGGGGAGGTGGCTCAATGGGTAATGTGCTACCCCATCAGCAGGAAGACAGGAGTTCAGTTCCCAGAACTTCCACTGAGAAAGTAAAGCAAAACAAAAAGGCCAGGCACGGCAGACCAGCCTATAATGCAGGGCTGGGCAGCCAGTGAACAGAATCAGTCAGCTCAAGGCTCAGAAAGAGATCCTGTCTCAAAAGAATAAAGAAGGTGAACAGCAACTGAGGAAACACCCAGTGCTGACCTCCGGCCAGGGCATGAATGAGCACACGCACAGACACGCACAGACATGCACAGACACACACAGACACACATGTCCCAAATCCATAATGACAGTAGCTACTATAAAACTTATCAGCAGTTTAATAGTACTTCCTATGTTTTCTATACCAGACCAACTGTTTTTATGTATATAATCAGTACCATGTAACACAGAAGCTGAAATGTAGTCTCTATGTAAATGCATGCTAGTTAGGGATCACCAAAATGATTAACAATTTTGAATAAAGATAACCAAACACTGAAATGACAGCATCTTTTGTACTTAGCTGTCTTTATAAAGATTACCTTTCCAAGCATTCTGCCTAGGAAGTAGTAATGTCTTGCAAAAGAATCTCCCACAAGCATCTGAGCAGCCGGGTTGGGGTACAGAAGCCCTTCATTAGTAGTCTTAAAGAACCCCTGATTGGGATTAAATCCTGATTTCAGTAGTTCATTTAAAAACTCTCTGAAAATACCACCACCATCGATGCCAGCTTCATCCAGGCCATGGGCATTGAGCAAGTGCACACGGATCCGCTTTTTCAAATCTGGTTCTGTTAAAAGAGCAATGAAGTAAACAGGTCATAGGAAGTCTTAGGTAAAGGCAGTGGGAATATTAGGGACTGTTTTTTTTTTTTTTTTGGAGACAGGACTCCCTGTAGCCTTAGCTGACCTGGAACTCTATATAGACCAGGCCAGCTCTGCCTCCCCAGTGCTGGGATTAATGGCGTGCACTATCATGCCTGGTGATACTGTCTTCTCGATGGGAAAGGAGGCAAGAAACAGTGCTACAGTGAGAGGTTTACCATGAATGGAGAGTCAAAGCCAGCTAGTAAAGCGTCTGAGGAAGCAGACTGCTGACACCTTTCATGCGGTTTAAAGTGTCATCTTTTGGTAGAAACGTTTATATACACATGCAAATAAACACACACATACACACATTTATTTTCTACAGCAATGTCCTGAATCTAGGCATGTAAACGGAAGACGGACAAACGTGAAGCTCAGCTTTCATCTCTGTGCCTTCTGCTCTGGAGCCTGTAACTGCCTCCTTCACTGGTTTGATGACTGCATGGAAATTAAGTACTGCAACCCAGATAGTTCTTTCTGGCCTTTGACCATGCAGGATAAGTAGTATTTGTGTGACAGGCAGGATCAGGCCAGAAATCCTGCTCTGTTCAAAGTGTGAAATACCAGTGTTTTCTAAACTCCATGACAACTGAGATATGCACTTCATGAATTCTTTTTAAAAGTTTTATTTTATTATTTTGTGTGATGCACCCATGTGTTGCAATGTTTGCAGAAGACAGAAGAGGCTGTTAGATGGCCTGGAACTGGAGTTACAGATGGTTGTTAGCTGCCATGTGGCTGCTGGGAATTGAATCCAGGACCTCTGCTAAGCTCAGCGGTTAAGAGCGCTGGCTGCTCTATCTCTCCAGTCCTGCACTTCAAGAATTCTGAAGGTTTTAGACAATAGTAGTCTGAGAGGTCATTTAAGAGTGAACTGGTTTGTGACTTAGGAAATTACAGATTTTTGTAAGAATTTTTCTGCCATGAAAGACAATTTAATATTCTAAAGACAATAAGAATTTCTTTCTAGAGAAACTAAAAGTTTCATGCCATTGCTTCTTCACTGAAAGGCTTTTTATAATTTAAAATATACTATTTGTTCATTTTCAAGGCACCTCATTTTCCCAGAACAAAACTATTTTTTTTTTTTTTTTTTTGGTCTTTTTGAGATAGGGTCTCCCTGTGGCTGCAGCTGGCCTGGATTTGCTATGGAGACCAGGCTGGCCTTGAACTCACAGAGATCCGCCTGCCTCTGCCTCCCCAGTGCTGAGATTAAAGGTGTGCGCCACCATGCCAAGCCCAGAACAAAACTTTTAAAAATAAAATGCTTCCAGGTCAAGAGCACTGGCTGCTTCTGCAAAGGACCTGGGTTTGGTTCCCAGCACCCACATGGCAGCTAACGACCACCTGTAACTCCACTGCCAGGGGATCTGATTCTGTCTTCTGATCCCCATGGGCACTGCATACACACTGTACTTACATACATGCAGGCAAAACACTCATACACATAAAGTAAGAATAAAAATATAAAAAACGCTTTCAGTTTTAAGAGTAGCAGAATTTAAAAACTGACAGCAAGGGAAGCATTTGTGAGACTTTCACTTTGTCTTTTTTTTTTTTTTTGGAACAGGTTCTCACTGTGTGGCACTGACTAGCTTGGTGAGCTCCTATGTAGACCTGGGCTCTACACAAACTAACCTCAAACTCAGAGATCTGCCTGTTTCTGCCTCTCAAGCGCTGGGACTACAGGTGTGTGCCACCACACCCAGTTTGGATAGTTTTTAAACTAATGTGTTTTAGGGACTTATTCACTATAGAAATGTGTACTTTCTTAAAGCTGTTTGTAGAGGTACAAACTGCTTTGAGATGTCTTGTGTGACTCTAACTTAGTGCAGCAAGTTATTATTATACTTGGCTCAAAATAAGTATTAAAATTTCATTTAAACTGGGTATGGTGGCACACGCTTTAATCCCAGCACTCAGGAGACAGAGGAAGGCAGGTCTCTACGAGATCAAGGTCAGTCTGATCAACATAATGAGTTCAAGGCCAGTTGGAGCTATAGGGAGAGCCTGTCTCCAAACACAAAACCAAAATAAAAAAATTCACTTAGAGACCTCTGAACCTACCATTTATTAACATCAATTCTAAATTAGTACCTGGAAAAATATTACTGTGCTAATCTATTGATGCAAGGAATATAGCCTGAAAAAAAATCAAATAGGAAAAAAGACCTACAAACAAACAACTAACCAAAGCCCAAAGCCCAAATCCAAACAAAAAGAACTGAATTTGGAGGAAAGAAGAATGTTGAGAAAAGAGTTACGTATCCCTCGCAAGAGTGGCAGGAGAGACTAAAGCACAGGTAGAGGAAGGATGGGATCTGGGACATCAGATGACCAAGAACTGGCTACCATCAAGGAATGCCACCCTGGCCACCACTCATCAGGCACCCACAGCAGGGACACACCCACATCTCTCATGGGAGCCTGGCAAACAAACCCACCCCCACCTGGGCTCCAGCCTGCTCTTCATCTTGCCTAGGAACAACAGCAACTACCACTAACCATTTAACCCAAGCAGAAGACAGGCCAGGAAGTTTTCGTAATTACATCAAGGCCCCAACAACCATCTGGGTTAAGAACTATGGCCATGTTGTGGTCATAAAGCTGAGAATAAATATCTCTAAAGCCCCAGGGTCCATACTATAATGGGTACGATACCACTTAAAATACCTTGGCTGCCTATGAAGCCTTAGTCCTTATCCACGCAGGCACCTCTGAGTCTTCATTATTCTATTTTGAAGAACAGGTTTTTCAATGATAGATCCACAAACATGGTGTGTGCATCTATTTTGACTAATTTGGTTATGAAATATGTTCAACTAAGGTTTCAGATAAAATGCCATCAGAATAAAGGCTATTTCAAAAACTGGTGCGGCTGGGCTGGCAGGATGGCTCAGCAGGTAAAGGTGTTTCTCACCAAGTTTGAACATCCAAGCTTGAGTCTTGGGAGAACCAACCCCTACAACTTGTTTTCTGACCTTCACCTGAGCACTGTGCATGGGTACTCCCCTCCCCCCAAAAAAAAGTAATAAAAGAAAACCCAACTCACTTAGGTTTGAAGGATGAAGTAGCACCTAGAAAAAAACCTCAGCTAGAGATGTCATGCAAAAAATATTTAGGTATTTCACCCATTCATTCTCTGAATCCCAATCTCAAGAAAGAAACAGGCTACTCACCCACATACAAGATCTCACAAAGCTAGGCATGGTGATATACACCTTGAATCCCAGCACTTGGGAGGCAGAGGAAGGCAGATCTCTATGAAATTGAGGCCAGCCTGGTCTACATACCGAGTTGCAGGTAAATAGTTAAAGATTTCATAATAGCTTTAAGTATGAAAACATTCAGAATGGAAAAAGTCAACCACAGTCCATCTCTGAGCCCCTCCTTTAACCTTGAGGCCAAAAATTTTGGGGTTTCCTGAAGCCAACTTCTGAGAATTACAATACAGAATAGCATGACAATATTTTCAGCATAGAATCTAGCTTTCTAGATGTGTTACCAGCCACTTCAAGCTCTACTTGATCAACTACTTATGAGGGGCTAACCTGTACTGCCCAGAAGAATGCTGAGATGAAATGAGATAACGAGCATCAGTAAGGACTGACTGTAATGACAGATGACAGATGGAATAATACATTAACTGACTATGCAAATGATCAGTTAATGCAGCAGTTCAAACCTTTTCTCATAAGTAAATTAAATGTTAATCCAATGTTTTAAAATCCTTATTCCAGGGCTGGAGAGATGGCTCAGCAGTTAAGAACACTTAGAGCTATTCCAGAAGACCAGGGTTCAGTTCCCAGCACCCACATGGCAGCTCACACCCATCCATAACTCTAGTTCCAGGGGATCTGATACCCTCCTCTGGTCTCTGCAGGCACCAATCACACATGTGGTGTACTTACATGCATGCAGGTAAAACAATCACATTCATGAAATGAAAATAAATAAAAATTTTAAAGTATCCTAAAAGCTTAAAAGGTCACTTAGGAAGTGCAGGGTTTGCTATAACTGGGCAGTACTGCTCTGTTTTTTTAAAGTTTTTATTTAATTTTTATTTTATGTGTATGAGTGTATAGCCTGCACGTATGTGAGTGCACCCGTGTCATGCAATGCTGGAGGTCAGAAGAGGGCTTCGGATTCCCCTGGAATTGGAGTTAAGGATAGTTCGTAGCCGCCATGTGGGTGCTGGGAATTGAACCTGGGTCCTCTGCAAGAGCAGTCAGTGCTCTTAACAGCTGAGCCATCTCTCCAGCCCCAGTAATACTCTCAAGTTTCCTCCTCCCCATATATAGGCACAGAGAGAACATTATCTATCTATCTATCTATCAATCTATATACACACACACACACCGTTTTCTGGAGAAAGTTTGTCATAAGCATCTTCATAAATATAATTTCTTCTTATTGTGACATTAATTCCATCCAGAAATGGACCATCTCCTTGAACGTCTTGCTTGTCTGCATAAATCAGCCTCTGAAAGATCTAACGAGAGGGAAAGCTGTAAGGTTACTAGAGACAACAGACTTGGTATTATAAGCACAACAATCTGAAGAACAAAACTGCTAAATAATTTAAACTTTCTAGCTCCATAAATTCTGGAATTAGTTTTTTTTTATAGCCATAGTAGCATATTGACTTTTTCAAGAAATGAGTATTAAGTATTTCTAAAGTTGTTTTCCTGATTTCACAATAAAATCTCGAAGACCCATGCCACGACACATTCTCACTGATAAATCATTCGTAAAAATTTAGACAAAGGGGGCTGGAGAGATGGCTCAGCGGTTAAGAACACTGACTCTTCTTGCAGAAGACCCAGGTTTGAATCCCAGCACCCACATGGCAGCTAACAATTGTCCATACACGCATACACATAAAATAAAAATAATAAATAAAATATTTTAAAAAACAATTTAGAAAAGGGCTGACAGGAGTAAAGGAACTTGCTGCAGACTCATGACCTGTTTGATTTCTGGGACCCACGTGGTAAGGATTGGGAACCGACTCCTAATACTTGTCCTCTGACCTTCACTCACATGCAACATACAAATGTCAAAAGCACTTAGGAGGGAAGAAGGACCTGCAGCTCTGACAGCCATATACTAATCTAGAGGGAATACTTCTACAACGATGGAATTCAAATGTCTGGGATGCTGAAAACCTAGCACATGGAGTTCAGGAGCTGGGCACCACTGTGTGTGTTTTGTCTTTTTGAGACAGGGTCTGCCCTGGAGCCCCAGCTGGTCTGGAACTCACTATAAAGACCAAGCTGGCCTGGAATTCACAGAGATCCACCTGCTTCTATCTCCTGAGCACTGGGATTAAAGGTATGCGCCACCATGCCCAGCCCACTATGTGTGTTTTCATTTGCCCTGGAGAGAGGCTGAAGACCACAAGGACCTCTTGAGGTCATTATCTGAGAAAATAACCTGGCAATTTCTAGAGATTTTCTAAATATATTTGGAGAATATGAACAAAACAGGCTATTTGAGTTGGGAGCAGATAAACACAAAGTTCTATTCATTTGTCAAAATCATCAGGCAAGGAGCTAAGGTAGCTGACCATTTTCACTAAAGCAGTGTTTATCATAGTAACGTTCATGTGAATGTACATAACATATATTTAAAAAAAAAAAGAAAAGAAATTGGTGTTTTCAGTGACAATGCAAAATTCACCAGAGAATAAACCACCTGTTGTGTTACCAGAAATCTCTCGTGAAACAGGTTGCCCAACCAGCTCCCAGGGGAAACATGGCTTTAGTGCGCACAAAGAAGTGTCTGGCTGGAGTTCATAAATGATGGAACTGGAGACTTTGTTGGTGTGTTAACTTTTCGACACTAACGTGGCACACTAACATCACGGTGTGTAAGTGGCATACCTTCACTCGCTCCTCAAATGGAACCACGAAAGGAAGCTCCGTCAGAATGGCAAGCTGCCGCTCCTCAGACACGGACAGCGGAGGTGATTCCAAACCCACTGCAACACGTAGGACAACGATTTAGTCCACTCGTGCTTTCCTTTCCATTCACTGTCAGCTACTAAAGCAGGATTTATAAAATCACTTCTAAGAACCTAATAACCTCCTACTTCATCTGTCTACCTCTAGCTCCATGAACACATCCTCCAGGCCCAGTTTTCGAGGTCATCCTAGCCAGGCAAGTTGATACAGGTGCAGAGTGGGTCAGGACTGCCATCTTGGGCTTAAGCCAACATCTATGTGCTCAGCCCCCACACACAGCCAGCACTCACAGCGTGGTGAGATCCAGGTGTCAGAACAGAAGTCAGTACAGTCTCTTTCCTCTAAGCTGGGCATGCATGCATTGTCGGGTGTGCCTAAGGGAGGGCTGTGTCCAGCAGTCCTGCACTGACTCTTCACTAGTGACGTGTCCCCTGTTCTTTCCAACACTGAGAAAACACCTGGCACAATGAATCACAGTCACCCTTCCAAACTCATTTCAAAATAGAGGCAAAACATGAACATTTAAAGATTTTATTTTTCAGAAACAGGGTTTTACTATGCAGCCCTGGCTGACCTCAAACTGACAGAGATCTGTGCCCTTTGAGTGCTGAGATTAAAGGCGTACACCACTACAGCTGGTTCCTGAGTAATTTTTAACAGTTTATTAAATAACTCTTTCAATTACATAAACAAGGGGAAACTAAATCACACAAAACATACTTTTATGAAGGCATAAGACTTAGTAAGTGCCTACAACTGCCAGACACAGACTCAGATGAAGCCTTACCACCCCTTCAATGTCTCTAAGAGCAACTGTATCTAAGGAAACCAGGACTTGTAGACAGCAATTCCCATTGCAATTATTGTGTAGTCAAGTTTTAGAAGGGCCTAGTTCGGAGCTGGAGAGATGGATGGTTCAATAGTTAAAAGATTATTTGCAGAGGGCCCAGATTCAGTTCCCAGCACCCACATAGGACTCACAGCTGTCTGTAATTCAAGTTCCAGCATGAACAATGCCGTCTTTGGGCCTCCACATGCACTAGGCAAACACTTGGTACACATACAAAATTACAGGCAAAATACTCATACACATAAAAGAAAAATAAGAAAAATTCTTAAAATGAGGTGTCCCACTTTCTGTATAGTAAAGAACGTATTTTCCTCCTCAGAATCACTGCCAAAAACCCATTAGGCTTGGAATTCCTCAAACACAAGCTCCACTTTAATTACAAAATGAATTCTTTTTGGTAGCTGAAATTCCATTTAATGGATTTAACCTGAGGATATCGATGGGTTAATTACAGAGTTGAACATCTCCTTGCGGGGATTCAGGACTCCTACTCCCAGTATCTACGCACACAAAGCAGGAAGGTATGCTTACACCAGGATGTGTACACTGATGTTTATAGCAGCTGAATTCATAATCACCAAAGACTGAAAAAATATCCAAATGTCCTTCCACATGTACTCGATGGAAGGCTACAGAGCAACACAAAGCAACATGTGGCCCACAGAACCCACTGCCTCAGCTGCTCACTCTAAGGCTGCTGCTAAGGGCCTCCAGTAAAGGAGAGATGACGACCACTTTCTGCCTGTTCACCAGAAGACAAGACAATTCTTACTGGGAGATGAAAACATTCTTTGTGGTATTAACACTGAAACCAGTGGCTGCTGTACTATGTACACACTTCCAGCTGAAAACAAGTCCCAGCTGGGGAGAACTCACCCTCCAGGGTAGACTGCAGTGGGCCAATCCTCCCCATCCTCCGGAACCTCCACACATGTCTGGATGCAGGCACGTAGAGCTGGGTGACCTGTGGAACCCAACTGCAGTCAGCAATTCCTTCTGCCCCAGCATTTCCTTGTGGCATCTGAACAGAGCCAGGGCCTCTATCTCCTTACGGAGCTGTCTATCTCTGTACTGTCCAGGCTGCCTTTTACAGCCTTTGCTGGCTGGCCTTTAGCACTTTCAAAGGGGACTCCTAAGGGACTGGCAAGATGGCTCAGGAGTTAAGAGCATTTGCTGCTCTTGTGGAGGGCCCAGGTTCAGTTCCCAGCACCCACATGGCAGCTCACAACTGTAACTCCAGTTCCAAGGAGATCTGGTGCACTCTTCTGGCTTCCTTGGACATTACATGCATGTGATACACTTATATCATGTAGGTAAAACACTAATACACATTAAAAAAGTATTTTTTTAAAATATTTTTATTTATCATTATTATTTTTGTCTTTTTGAAGCAGGGTCTCCCTGTAGCCCCAGCTGTCCTGGAACTCACTGTGTAGACCAGGCTGGCCTTGAACTCACAGAGATCTGCCTGCCTCTGCCTGCTAAGTGCTGGGACTAGAGGCATGCAGCACCACACCCAGCTTATTTATTATTTTTATTTTATGTGTATGTGTGTATTGCCTGTATGTAGGTAAGTGCACTCATGTCGTGCAATGCCCGCGGAGGACAGAAGAGGCTGTGGGAGTCCCTGGAACTGGAGTTACGGACAGTTGTTAGCTGCCATGTGGGTACTGGGATTCGAAACCTGGTCTTCTGCAAGAACAACCAGTGTTCTTAACCGCTGAGCCATCTCTCCAGACCCATAAATAAAATATTTTAAAAAACAAATTGCTTGTTGTGTGTTTTGGTAAATTATGCTGCTATAATTATGAACAAAATATACTACACTTAAAAAAAACATACACACACACACACACACACACTTCTTAATAAGTTTTCCAATTACTTTGGTTGAACTAGCATTCAGGTAAGATAAGAGGTCATTTTCCTTTAAGCTTTGCTTTAATCTGCAAGTTCTTCTCATCCCTTATTTTTTTTTATTACTATTTTTCTTTTATGTATATGAGTATGTATTGCCTGCATGTGTCGTGCAATGCCTGAGGAGGTCAGAAGAAGGCGTTGGATTCCACTGGAACTAGAGTTATGGATGGTTGTTAGCCACCATATGGGTGCTGGGAATTGAACCCAGACTGCAAGAGCAGTCAGTGCTCTTAATCGCTGAGTCATCTCTCTAGCCCTCTCATCCCTTATTTTAAAAATATTTTATTGAGCTGGGAGTGGTGGCACATGCCTGTGCCTGAGGAGGTCAGAAGAAGGCGTTGGATTCCACTGGAACTAGAGTTATGGATGGTTGTTAGCCACCATATGGGTGCTGGGAATTGAACCCAGACTGCAAGAGCAGTCAGTGCTCTTAATCGCTGAGTCATCTCTCTAGCCCTCTCATCCCTTATTTTAAAAATATTTTATTGAGCTGGGAGTGGTGGCACATGCCTGTAATCCCAGCACTTGGGAGGGAGAGGCAGGCAGATCTTTGTGAGTTCAAGGCCAGCCTGGTCTACACAGTGTGTTCCAGGCCAGCTGGGGCTACAGGGAGACCCTGTCTCAAAAACAAACAAACAAAAAGAAATGATTACTGTCTCCAAATCGTACAAAACACACAAACTGAGCCACTGGTTGGATATCTTGCCCATGTGGTACAGTAAGTATTTGAGCCAAAATTTGTCTTGCCATCTGTCCATAGCCTGTGCTCTTAAGTACTACACTCTTCTGCTCTGAGCCCACATCTCTCTTGTGGCCTTCCTATTTAGTGGGGTAATAAGGGACCATTTGAAATCAGATCCCAAACACACACAGCTCTCACCTGAGCAAACTCAGCAAAGCTCTTCTCAACTGTGTGCTCCTCCAATTTGCGCCACAGGCATCTACAGGTGTCAGAAGACCAGCATTGTGCGCAGGTGGATCTCTGTGAGACTGAGGCTGTCCTGGTCTACATAGTGAGTTCCAGGCCAGCTGGGGCTACAGGGAGACCCTGACTCAAAAAAAAAACAAATAAGTATATTTATTATTTATTATTTATTTTTATTTTACACTATTTTCAGTTCTTGCAATATATAAGGGTACAAACTTCTGTTCCAAAATTCCTGGAAAGGATTATGTTCACTATACCATCACAATAGTCCCTCAAATTCTCCAGCCTGTGTTTCCTAGGTGGTGGGTGAGGTCTTTCGTCACAAGGCCCCTGGTCTGTTTACTGCTGCCCAGGTCACATGCTGGTATGCACTTATGCCACTGATGGACCTCAGGAGGTTGATTTCTGCAGCAAGCTTTCTGAAGTGAGAAGAGGTACAGTAACCCTTACTGGCACGTGCCCTATCTCCTGGGACCTGCAGTGGCTTAGGCCAATAGGTCTGATGGTAGTGGGGTTTCACTTCCTTCAATGAACCCACAGAATAGGACAGCCATTACCTAAAAGACATCCATAGCAGAAGAACATCACTGCTATCTGGACAGCCTTGGAAAGGCAAGTCACATGTTTACTACTTCTTTCTAGAATAGTCTTTAAAATAATGAAGTGGTTCTCTCACACCCTATAAAACTGATTGATGAGGTTCTTTTTCTCTGTGGTGTCACTGTGAAGTTACAGCAAGCATGTTTGATGTCAGTCCACACAGCTATTTCTGTGAGCTCCCAGGACAGTGCAGATGTAAGGGAGGAGAGACCCTCAGAGGTTCCTGCCCTTTCCCCCCACCCCAGCAGCCTCTACTGTGACAGAGCACCACACCTCAGACTTAGAACTGACCATTGGGGTGTGTTGGTGGGTAAAGTTCCTTAAAGTCTGCCACCCGCCTGGGCCTTAGAGCTGTTCACTTTGCAGAATCTGTCCATTTCCAGATCCTGCCAGTGGGCAGAACTAGAGGCCTGACCCATGAGGACCCGGTCCCACCTCAACTGTCCTGCCACTCTCCTGCTCTGACTCCTTCAGGTGTCTCCACCCTGCCTTCTTCCACTCCCAACATTCTCGACTGCGTCGATGGTGACTTTTTCTGGGAGCATCTGTGGTCCTGTTACCTATACTCTTCCTCATGTGCTTTAGGGCCAAGCACTAGCAATACCCAATTTTGCCTGTTCCTTCAGACAGCTGTGGATAAGGTCTGTCTCTTTAACTAACAAACACACACTATCAGGATTACTAAAGTTGAAATTGTTTTCAATCCCAATCAACAATTATTAGGCTTCAATCTAACCTGTGGACAAACGAGGACAATTAGGATAAAGATAATCAGGAGGATGTGTAGATAATGCTGTTGCTACATATCCTGGCTGTGACCCAAGAGTCAGTAATACTTTAACATCTATCCACAAGTTAAGTAACAAGTCAAGGGCTTACTTTCCTCAGAAAGGCAAAGGCTTCAACGACTGTTAATGAAGTAGTAGGAGCAACTTGTCACTAACCTTATCTGCTTTAATGTCCTCCTGTTCTGACAGCCAGTGGTTTGGAGGACAAAAATTCCTCCTTGTGTCTCTGGACTTCAGCATTTTCACTAAGTTGGTAATAACCTGAAAGGAAAGAAGGACAGGGCACTGTCATACCAACAGCTCAGTGACTGCCTCTGCACAGAGTGGGCAGCACCACTAACCAAACACCAAGACATTGGCTTGGGTGCGCCTCCACCCGTGAAAATGGACCAGGACCTCCCTAGACCAGGTCACTGAGAGGCTTCTGTTGTGATCACAGCAACACGCTGAAAGAAGAAAGCAGTTGTTTGCTCACAAATACGGAAAAGCGACACAAGTGTGCATTCACAATGGTCTTCAAAAACAGGGGTGAGGGGGCAGAGAGATGGCTGAGTGGTTAAGAGCGGAATCCTGCTCCTCCAAGGATCTCACTGTGGTTCCCAGCACCCACATCAGGAGGCTCACAATGGACTTTAACTCCAGCTTCAGGGGAATAAACACCTGTTCTTGCAAAGGACCTGGGTTCAGTTCCCAGCACCTACATCAGGTGGCTCACAACTACCTGTAACCAGTTTCAGGGGATCAGACGCCTTCTAATCTCTGCATGCATGTGGTGTACATAAACTCATGTTAGCACACATACATACACATAATAAATACCCCCAAACCAGGAGAGGGGACAATTAAGTTTTTTATTTCTCTTTCTTCTTGGAGACAGAGTCTCGTGTAGCCCAGTCAGGCCTTGAATTTTCTGTAGCAGAGAAGTCTTGAATTCTCATGTCTGAAACATTACAAAGTCATTTCCTAAAGTATCCATTTTAATCAATCATCAAAAAGCAAAAACCAGGGCTCAAGAGATGGCTCAGCAGTTAAGGGCTGGCTGAGAGATGGCTGCTCTTGCAGAGGACCTGGGTACAGTTCCCAGCACCCACATGGTGGGTAACAACCATCTGTAACTCCAGTTCCAGGGGATCTAATGCCCTCTTCTGGTCTCTGTAGGCATTGCATGAAACGGGTACACTTAAATACAAGCAGGTAAAACACTTACAAACACATAAAAATAAATAAACAAACAAAAAAAGCAAAAACCACCTAGCCAGCCATCAAGCATAAGAAGGACAGGGTGTGGCTGGGCATAGTGGTGCAGTCTTAATTCCAGCAGGCAGGTCTCTGTGAGTATAAGGCCAGCCTGGTCTATACAGCAGGCCACCGTGGGCTACATAGTGAGACCCTGTCTCAAAAAAGGGGGGGGAGGGAGGGAGGGTTAAGGGAAAAAATAGGAGGGGTAGGAGGGAGGGCAATATGGAAGAAGGAAGGAGAAATTACACTAGAGATGTTTGAAAAAACATAGGGAAACATTATTTTATAAGCTTACACCTTAAACAGTTCACTACAATGGGTGATGATACTCCCTGCAGGAGCCAAAGACAACCTAACCAAACTCCAGTGCCAGACATGGGAGAGTCAGAGATTCCCAAACAATATAGAGGCTGTTGATAGTGTTCTTGCTTGCTTCCCCAAACCTGAAGATAAAAACCCTACTGCAAGAGCTGGGTATGGTGGCGCACCCCTTTAATCCCAGCACTCGGGAGGCAGAAGCAGGCAGATCTCTGTGAGTTCAAGGCCCGCATGGTCTACACAGTGCGTTCCAGAAGATGCAGACATAGGACACAGAGAAATTAAACTGAAACAGATCTGAAAGCCTCCTCCCTGAGGACCAGTTCTCATAGAATTAGAAGGTGCTATGCAAGCTGCCAAGGGAGAAAAGCAATCAAAAGTCCTACCTAGCTGTAAAGCCTAAGAACCACAGAGGTGACCGGCCCAGTCAGATATCCCTAATGGTTCAACAGTGGCACTTTATCTTGGGAGTAACTGTATCTCTTTCTTATGTGTGTATATGACCCAGTTAGTTTCATTAAGGTTGCTTACAGGAGAACCGTGGGTCAAAGTTCATTTACCAGAGCATGACAGCTTAGCAGAGGTTACACCAACGAAAATCTCTCTCCCCCTCTTTCATTAACCCTTCACTATGCATAAATCCTGTCCTAGGAGCCCCTCCCATATCCACGATAGGGTGTTGATGGTCCTAATCTTGTGTAGCTAATCACAGCTGCTGTGAGTTCAAGAGTGCAATAGTTGGGGCTGGAGAGATGGCTTGTAGTTAGGAGCACTGGTTGCTCTTGCAGGGAACTCAGGTTCGATTCCCAGCACCCACACGGTGGCTAACAACTGTCTGTAACTCCGGTTCCAGGGAATCCGACACTCTCTTCTGACTGCATTGGCATTGCACAACATGGGTATATTTACATACATGCAGGAAATACACTCATATACATAAATTAAAAACAATAAAATTATTTTAAAAAACAGTGCAACAACCATATCATGCCAAGAAGTCAGAACACCCCCTCCTGATTCTGATACTCTTCCTGCTTCTTCCTCCACTATGTCCTGGAGCCTTGAAGGGGTGGTACAAATGCCCCATTTACGGATCATTTACCCTTAGTACTGCCCAGTTATGAGTATCTGCAGTCACTGCTTTTCACTGCAGAAAGAAGCAGCTCTGACCAAAGTTGATAGCAGCACCATGCTGTGAGTATATGGTTTTTCAGAAGGTAATGTGGCCAGGCAGATCTCTGTGAGATCAAGGTTAGCCTTGTCTACATATAGAGTTCTAGGCTAGCTGGGGCTACAGGGAGACCCTGTCTCAAAACAACAAACCCCCAAACAAACAGAAGGTAATCTGACAGGTTCATCATGTCTAGTTAGCAAATAACAGCAGCAGCCACATGACCTTCCTAGCCATGGGCTTCTGACTGGGTCTGCAGTATCAGATAACTCCCTCCTGTGGAGCAGTCATCAAAACCATTTAGAATACAGTTAACTACTCCATAACAAAGTAGTAACTATTGCCCAATGGGTTCACTGGGCCTGGCTAGTGGGAACTGTAGCACACAGGGACCACAGCTGAGTAGGGCTGCTGCTGATTATTCCCTAGCAGTCTGCACAGTACCAGAAGGGCAGGTCAGCAGACAGTATGCTTCCAGCCAGTGCTAGGTTATTTTTCAAAATTAATTAAATTTTTTTTTGAGGCAGTCTCCCTGTAGCCCCAGCTGGCCTGGAACTCACTAAGTAGACCAGGCTAACCTTGATTCACCTGCCTCTGTCTCCCAAGTGTTAGGAATAAAAGATGTGCCACCACTTCCGGCTCAGACCTAGGATTTTTTTGAGACAAGGTCTCCCTATATCCACATTGGCCTGGAACTCATGGATCCTCCTACCTCAAACTCAGCCTGCTGAGTGCTGGGTTTCACCATGCTCACCATCACGTCCAGCAAGTTTTTTCTTTCAAATGGAAAACACAAACCAAAAAGAGAGCATGAATCATCTGCCGCAGCACTCTGCTCTCTATACGTGTGTGGTGATGTGCACGAGACGCACAAAAGCCTGACTTCCTGGCACACTGCCTTCAATGAGGCCTACTAAGTGCGTTAGCTGGATACAAAGACCTGTCAAATAGGGTTTCCTGTCTCTTCACAGAGTTAACACCATTATAGCCATAAATTATACTTCAAAAGGAGTTTATAAAGTTGATAAATGCATGAACTGTTTTAGCAGTGTTGATTCAGGGCGCAGGAACCGACCTCAATTCCTACAGTGACAAGTAAAGATGACTGTAAGCACTTAAAATTCTATGTTCTGTGACCAGCCAACGAGCCTCTTACACAAATTAGTTCAGGAGGACCATCACTGACTGAAAAATGAAAATGGTTGGAGCTGAAGCCCAGTCTCAGCGTTTGCAATTCTAACAAGTCAATGAACAAAGGCCAGAAATCTTCAGCAAAACATTCATACCACCTCTGGTTGGCTCTTCAGCTCTCGTTTGGTGCTACAGCACGCACAAATGGACCTGAGAGTTCATTTTGCTTCTTCTTAGAGGGAGAACAGGGCTAGCTCTGCCCATCACCACTTCATGTCCTTTTGTCAACAGTGACAACAGTGCATCCCTACACAATCACAACCACATCAACAGACAGCCAATACCTGCTCTTAAGCGAAAACTGATGGCTCCCTATGAGCTTGCATTTTATAATAAACATCATTTTTGTGAAATGAGGGTAACTGTCTTTCAGGACTGACCTGAAATGCTCACTGCTGATCAAAAAAGGGTCATTTTCTCCTAAAAGTAAAACTACACAGCAGCTGATTGCCCAGGCTTGTACCTTGGTTTGTATTCAGTTCTACCCACTAACACAAAACAACCAAACCATCCTAACTTTAACACTATGCCTAGGCGCAATAACCACACTATTCACTGCAATATGCGCTCTAACACAAAACGACATCAAAAAAATCGTAGCATTCTCCACCTCAAGCCAATTAGGGTTAATATTTGTCACTCTCTTCTTAGGACTCATTTCAGAAGAAGACGGTATACAGAGTTTGAAGCACAGTCCTTTAAACAGTTACGTTCTAAACTCAAAGGTCTTTGTGAAAACATAACCGCAAACCTAAACCACCTCCATAGCAAAAAGAAAAAGCAGCCGGGCGTCGTGGCACTCGTCTTTAGTCCCAGCATTTGGGAGGCAGAGGCAGGTGGCTCTCTGTGAGTTTGAGGGCAGCCTGGTCTACATAGTGAGTTCTAGGCCATCTGGGGCTATAGGGAAACCCTGTTAAAAAAAAAAGAAAAAAAAAAAAGAAAAAAGCAAACTGTTAGGATTTGCAGTGTAGCTCAATGGTGGAATGTTTACCTCACCTGCACAAGGCCCTGAGTTCAACCTCAAGTCTGTCTCTCCCCTACCCCCTGCCCTTCACACACACACTGAAATTTCACCTAATTTTTTTTTGGGGGGAGGGGTATCTGAAACAAGGTCTTGCTCAAGATAGCCTTGACCTCACTGTAGCACTGTAGCCCAGGCTAATCCCACACTTGTGATCATTCTGCCTGAGCCACCTGAGAGCTGGAGACTGGCACGCATTACTGTACTCGGCTCCCCAAAATTTTTGTTTAATACTTATGGAAAACAAAATAGGACAAGGGTGGAAAATACATTATATAGCATTATTAAATTCAGATATTCTTATAGCCTGAAGATAATGCTGTCAAATGAAACAATTACATGCTCAGTAGGCATAGTAAACAGAGGTTATCTGCCAGCATACAGAGAATCTGGGTCCCCAAAGAGAAGTGATACTAGCTTAATTTCCTATGGACAGGAAGACACACAGGCTACCATAAGGCCCACATCTAGGGCAGGCTTACATAAGAATTACAAGTCTGAAGTAGGTATGAGAGCTTATTTGCAACTTAGAAAAGTTGCAAAATCACCCATCTTTAAGAAAGGGCTCAGCATGTAACTTTAAAATTTACTTAGAAATACAGAGATAGGTCATTAAAATAAATTGTGCAAATATGTATTACCCCAATCTGAACAAATTAGGAATTCAATGATGCATTAGTCCTGTATTCACGCAATCAAAACATTATCAGTTACCTTCACTGCTGCTAATGCTCATGCTTCTAAGTGAAATGTGTTGTAAAATCAGGCAGGATGGGCTGCAGAGAGACTCTCTCAGACTTGTAGGATGAATAAGCATTCCTTAATTAGCCCATCAGGTTAAGTGCAAGCATTAATGGGCCTTTCCTAAAGTCTAGCTTGACATCTTTCTCCAAACATGGCCAAGAAGAAAGCTCCATTAGCAATATTAATACAAGCTTAGTTGATCATTTTCATTCAATTAACTTCTTTCAATTAAATAGATAGCTTGACAAAAGCAGTGATAAAAGACCAGAAGGGACAGCTGATGACTCGCACTGAACATTAGCGTGCGAGAGGTCACTGGTGCTAACGGACTGTAAATCTAGCATTCAATTTGGAAAATGCATTTCTTCTGCTCGCACTCCTTTAATGAGCAATTTTAGCTGACTGGATGTGTTTGCAGCAGAAATTTCATGGAGAGTCAGGCGCCCTTTCCTGCTTAAAAAAAAAAAAACAAAAGGCCCCAGTCAGTGATGGTCTCCTGCCAGCACTCCAGCCACAGTACCCTGCAACTTTTACCCGTTACAGTCCTTAGAAATGAACACATTCCAGGCCCAGAGTGGTGGTGCACACCAGCACTCCCAGCACTCGGGAGGCAGAGGCAGGCTGATCTCTGTGAGTTCAAGGCCAGCCTGGTCTACACAGTGAGTTTCAGGACAGCTGGGGCTACGGGGAGACCCTGTCTCAAAAAGACCAAACACAAAAATAAAAAACAAAACAAAGGCCTTTATATTTATTATTTTAATTTTATGTGTATGTGTGCATTACCTACATGTAAATGCACGTGTGTCATGCAGTGTCCATGGAGGTCAGAAGAGGGCATTGGATCCCCTAGAACTGGAGTTATGGATAGCTGTTAGTCACCATGTGGGGAACTGAACCCAGGTCCTCCGCAAGAGCAGCCAGTGTTAGCTGCAGAGCCATCCCTTCAGCCCCAAGTCTATCTCTATAAATATATTCTATAAGAGATGGGGGATCTATAAAAGATCTTTTAGTGAAAAATAAATTGGAAACAATGAAATTTTACTTATTCTTCATCTTGTCACAGAAGGTGCCTAAGGCTTACATGCGCCTGACAACGTGAAAACAAGAGGTTGTTTTCTTGGCTCTTTTGTGTGTGTGCGCGCCATGGGATACACATGGGAAGTCACAGGACAACTTGCAGGGATCAATTCTTTCCTTTTACCATGTTTTCTTGGCTCTTTTGTGTGTGTGCGCGCCATGGGATACACATGGGAAGTCACAGGACAACTTGCAGGGATCAATTCTTTCCTTTTACCATGTAGGACTGGGGAACTGAGTCCAGATCCTCAGGCTTGAGAACCCAGGCTCAGTTCCCAGCACCTACATGGTGATTCGCAACCATGCATAACTCCAGTTTCAGGGGATCCGAATGCCCTCTTACAGCATCTGTGGGTATTTCACACATGTGGTACACTTACATACATGCAGACAATATACTCATACACATAAAAAGTTAAAATAAAGGGCTGGAGAGATTGCTCAGTGGTTAAGAGCACTGACTGCTCTTGCAGAGGACCTGGGTTTGGTTCCCAGCACCCACATGGTGGCTGGGCAATACACTCATATACATAAAATAAAAATAATAAAATAAATAAAAATAGATAAAGATGTAAAATAAAAATGAGGCTTTAAAAAGTTTTGAAAATTAAAAATCATGGGGCTGGAGAGACAGCTCAGTGGTTAAGAGCACGGCTGCTCTTGCAGAGGATCCAGCTTTGAATCCCAACACTCACATGGCAGCTAACAACTGTCCATAATGGTGGTTGCAGTGAGAAGCAGACAGGAGGTTGCACATTAGCGGTTTTGCAGGCCCAGAAGGGAGCCTCATGGTGGAGGGGCCCGGAACTGAGCATGTCAGAGCTACTTAGCAAACCTGGTACATCACCATGCTGGCTGCCAGGCTTGTGTGTCTCCAGACACTACCTTCAAGGGTCTTCCACCTACTTTCACCAAGGCCTCCCCAGTTGCAAAGAATTCCATCAGGAAGAACCAATGGCTCTTAACACCCAGCAGGGAATATGCCACCAAGACAAGATTTGGGATTCGCTGTGGGAAAACTGTCCAAGACCTGAAAGAGGCAGCTTTGGAATCATCCATGGAAAAAATACTCAAAATTCATCAGATAGGAAGGTGGTTTGTTGCTGAAGGAGCTGCTGCTGGTCTTGGAGTGCTGTGCTACTATGGTTTTGGTATGTCTAATGAAATTGGAGCTACTGAAAAGGCTGGCCAGGCGTGGTGACACACACCTTTAATCTCAGCACTCGGGAGGCAGAGGGAGGAGGATCTCTGTGAGTTCAAGGCCAGCCTGCTCTACATAGTTAGTTCCAGAACAGCTGGGGCTACAAGGAGACCCTGTCTCAAAAAGACAAAAAAAAGAGAAAAGGCTGTAATTTGGCCTCAGTATGTGAAGGATAGAATTCATTCTACTTACATGTACTTAGCAGGAAGTATTGGTTTAACAGCTTTGTCTGCCTTGGCAGCAACCAGAACTCCTGCTCTCATGAATTTCATGGTGAGAGGCTCTTGGGTGACAACCTCTGCAGCCATGATTGGAGCTGGGATGCTGGTCCAGTCAATATCTCATGATCAGAGCCCAGGTCCAAAGCCTCTTGCTTGGATGTTACACTCTGGTGTGATGGGTACAGTGGTAGCTCCTCTGACAATCTTGGGGGGGGGAGGGGGGCTCTTCTCCTCAGAGCTACATGGTACGCCACTGGCACTGTGGCAGGCCTCTCTACAGTAGCCATGTGTGTACCCAGTGAGAAGTTTCTGAACACGGGAGCACCCTTAGGAGTGGGCCTGGGCCTTGTCTTTGTGTCCTCACTGGGGTCTGTGTTCTCTCACCTTCCACGGTGGCTGATGCCACTCTGTACCTGGTGGCCATGTATGGAAGATTAGTTCTTTTCAGCATGTTCCTTCTGTGTGCTACTCAGAAAGTAACCAGGCGTGCAGAAATAACACCAGTGTATAGAGTCCAGAAGTATGATCCCATCAATTCAATGTTGGGCATCTACATGGATACATTAAATATTTTTATGTGAGTTGCAACCATGCTAGCAACCGGAAGCAACAGAAAGCCTCTGTCCGTGCTGCTTGTCAGATGCATCGCTTGTTTCATAGGGGCAGATGGTTGTTTCAGTTTGAGGACAGCTTTTCTTAAGGTTTAGAAAATAACCTGTCATCATATTTTAATGTTTCAGTAACATGACCCTTCAGGCCTGCTTTTTCTTTTAGAAAATAAATTCAATAGTTCTCTTCCAAATAAGCACACACATTTCCAGCTGTCAAGTCAGAGTAACTTTAAAATGCCTTCATAGATGTGGAAACTAAGGTTTGTGTTAAAATTTAAGTATTTTTCAGATATTGGGCAAGTAAAAATTAGCAAATTTATGTCTGCATAAGTTGTGTGTGGGAGTTGCGGAATATTGCAAGTAATGTCATAAGTGATTTCAGAGAAAAGTCAGAAGTGACGTACCGTCATTCTGAATGCTTAGGACATAGCTGTGAGCCAGAGAGGTCAGAGATGTGAGTGCACAGGTGATCGCACTGGTGGTGGTTCCTTCTGCTCTGCTCACTGGCCTCGGTGCTGACGGCTCATTGCTGACAGGATGGGCCTTCCTACTGCGATTATGTATACATGAGATTTATCTGAGTCTTCTAAAACAAAATATCCTTAAAACTATTCTCAAGGTAGCGTACTTCATGAGAATGTATATTTTGTGGCATGTCTGAATGTCTGGTTGAGCGCATGCCCCCTTTTCTCTGAGCCTTGGCAGCTGTCAGGAAGCCCGTTTGTGGCTCGTGCTGAGATTCGGCGTCTTCTAAACTGATGATTTCTGGTGCTCCCTCTCAGACTGAGAAGGCAGAGGGAGCATGGCTGTCTTTCGGGAACATCTGAATGACGTGTAAGGGGAATCAGCACTCCTAGCGTTCTCCTCCTCGTGACATTGTAAGTTTTTGACACAGGTTATTTTTGGAGGTCTGTCATGAATGAAAGTAACTGATTATTTACATGACTGCTATTTTTAAGAAATATTTAAACAGTAATTCAGAAGTAACATTTTAACCATCTCAGCGTACACAAGATCCTTATTTCTGAAATAATAAAAGTTCCAGCAAGAAAAAAAACCGTCCATAACTCCAGTTCCACAGGACCTGACGCCTCCGAGGGCACTGCACGACACAAGTGCAATTACACACATGCAGGCCTAACACTCATACACATAAAAAAAAGAAAATTAAAAATCATGCCTAAAACCAACCTCTAGCTCTTCACGTTTCTGAAATGAACCAAGCAGAAACACATCTATGCAGGAATCCACCACCCACATACCTTGAACAACTGAATCCATCGCTTCTGCTCCATCTGTATGCACTGCTGCATCTCAGAACTGGTAGTGACCCCGATGCTCTGAAACGCGGTTACATACTCTTCCCGGACTTCTGGCTTTGTTTCTGGATATGCCAGTTTGATGATGCCCAGGCAGGCATCCCGAAGGCAGCGGGATAGTAGGACCAGTTCCTCCAGAGTGAAAGGCATCATGGATGATTGTCTCTGACCTACAATTAGAAACAATCCAATTTTCCACCGCGGTTTTTTGTTTTGTTTTTGGCCTTTTTGAGACAGGGTCTCCCTGTAGCTGGCCTGGAACTCATTTTGTAGACCAGGCTGGCCTTGAACTCACAAAGACCAGCTTGGCTCTGCCTCCCAAGTGCTGGAACTAAAGGCATGCGCTACCATGCCCGGCTTCCACCATAGTTTTTATCAACATACACACATCAAGACTAAAAAAAAAAAAATCTTTCAATTGCCTTTGAAAACAGACAGGTCATGAGGTCAGCAGCAAACCCATTCTTCAAAATTCTTACCTTCTATGGGGTCACCAAAAAACTCATTGTCATGTATGGAAATCAGGGAATGACTGAACAGGGAACTGAAGAGGTAAAAGAGTGGGATGATTCGACTGGAATCCTCAAAAGACATGGGAGAACCCCGTGATATCACCTGAAGCAATGGCACCATAGACCTTAAATGAGGGAAAGTGAGAAAAAGTAAAGTGGTTACTTTAGTGACTTAGCTTGAGAAATAAGACATGAATTTTCAGTAACAATGAAACCACTTAAGGAAGGTACAGTCCCCATGACAACACAGGTCAGTAACTGGCACCAGGTAAGACACTGCCCAGCAGTCCACCTTGTCCACTGTGTCTCTGCTCCTGCCAGCTCTACAGAGTGGATGCAGTCCCAAGCCAAGGCTCTGGGGAGTCTTAGACAGACTTTGCTCCTACGTGGAAAAACACCACCCTTCCCTGCCCTTCCTTTTAACAAACGTTAACTGCTATGGTAGCACAGATTAGCTCCCTACTTTCAGGGAAGGCCTTAAATCAGCTCCACGTTGCAGGAAAATTCAAACCTTCAGGAATAAAGCTTCCACTCATTGATGTTTCTACTGTTGATGTTTTTCAGTTTTCTGTGCATGAGCATATTGCCTGCATATATCTAAGTGTACTCCTGTAGTGCAATGCCCGAGGAGGTCAGAGGAGGGCGTCAGATCCCCTGGAACTGGAGTTACAAACAGTTGTTAGCTGCCATGTGGTCGCTGGGACATCAAAACTGAGTCTTCTGCAAGAACAGCCAGTGCTCTTAACCACTGAGCCATCTCTCCAGTCCCATTATTGTTTCTTAAGTGACCCATGCCTGCCACAAGGGTAGGTCTCTAGAAAACTTTGTGTCTATTGTCACCATTAAAAACTGATGTTGTTGAAGCCAATGGTAGTGCACGCCTTTAATCCCAGCCCTCAGGAGGCAGAGGCAGGCAAAGAGCTCTGTGAGTTCAATGCCAGCCTGGTCTACATAGTGAGTACCAGGCCACCTGAGGCTACAGGGAGACACTGTCACAAAAAGACCAAAAAAAAAAAACAAAAAACAATGGTGGCACACGCCTTTAATCCCAGCCCTGGGGAGGACGAGGCAGATCTCTGAGGCAGGCCACCCTGGTTCACATTGCGGCTTCCTGTGACTAGAGAGACCCAGTCAAAAATCAATCAACAAAAAGACAAAAAAAAAAAAACAAAAAAAACCCAAAAACCTGATTTGTTTTTTAAACTGATTAAAGGTATGCACTACCACCACACCTGGCTCTGTGGGTGTCTCTGTGGGTGTGGTGGTAGTGCACACCTTTAATTCCAGCACTTGGGAGACATAGGCAGGTAGATCTCTGTGAGTTCAAGGCCAGCTTGGTCTACATAGCAAGTTCTAGGCCAGTTGGGGCTACAGGGAGACCCTGTCTCAAAAAGACTGAAAACCCCTCATTTGTTCAATCTCCATTTTAGAGACTGTTCTTGGAGTTGTTTTCTTTCTCAAGAAAGCCTGTCATATATAGGGAACATGTCACCAACAACTATTCACCTATAGGTTCTTTCTACCCAGGGCCAAGGCACAAATGAAACGCAAGCTCCCTGCTGGCCACGCTTCCTGCTGTGAACGCAAACTCAAACACTCTGAAAACAGGTCAATCTTAGAGACTTAGAAGTAAATAAAATCTTTACAATTTACTATAATGGGAAAGATGATGATTCATAACTCTAGAAAGTTGGCTGAATTACAGATAATCAATGGACTTCTGACAAATCCTGCCCTTGATGTCTACTCTCAGAATGAGAGTTTACAAGTGTCTGTGGGGACTACTCCCCCCACTTAAAAAGCCTCCAGCTTCCACATATGCTTCCTGCTGAATGGGCTCCAGATCCTTGACAGTCTCACTGGGGATAGTACACAGTGACCATAAGCAGACTAGTTTTGGTAAAGGACTGTCTGCCAACTCTGGGTTGCTTCAGTTTCAGTAAGTGATACACTGAACTCACCGACTCCAATGGCAAATGTTGAAAAGAAAACACCTGGATAAAAACATGGCTTGCCAAATGTCAGATGTACCTGCAGCTGCTCAGCACCCAGGCTGTGCCTCAGCTGGGCCTGGAAACACCTGCATCTTGGATGCTCGAGGAGCCCATGGAGCAAAGACTCCTGGGTAACCCAGGTTTCGGGCAGAACCATGGAGCCAGCACTTGAACACACTCCCCTCTTCACCCTTTGGCTCAATAAAACTGAGGCCCCAATTTACAACTTGCTGTGAAACTATTCAAATTAAATTCACTGTCATTTTCAGAAAATCAAGCATTTCGATTTTAATCTAACTCCCAGCAGTAATATGATGCAATGTTAACTAGGAATATATTAATATATTGTTTAAGTTCCTGGAAGGAGCCTATTTAATAAACAAGTAATAAGATACTCAAATTCACAACTGCTTTTAAAAAAAATCATACTTCAAAAAAACCTATAACTTTATCCCCTCGTAAAATAATATTAATACTTTAATATAATTAACAGTATCATATTTCTTTCACACATCATGACTCCATTTCCTCACCAAGAGATAAATGTCATAAACAAACAGGCAGTTATCAAGCAGACCTCAGCAGTATCTCTGTTGCTAAGCTGGGGTACACACAAGTCAATGATAATTTCCTGCCTTAATGATTCCCCATCTCCTCTTGCCTTGAGTAAACCCTGTTGTTCATGAAAGTCAAGGTCATGTCAGAAGGGCTAAAATGCACAAAAAACACAACAAAACATCCCAAACCTTTTATTTAAATCTTCTAAACATGAATGCAATCTAGGTGTCTTAAACTCTACTGATTCAAGATCAATCACTCAGCCTTTCTGAGTGTCATAGCCACAGCACCCAGTTTTGAAAAACTCCTGCATTCCCTTAAGGGTCATTAAAATTCAGTGAAAACAGTTAATTCAGAACAATGCAGTATGTTAGAGGACATCTCCCTACTACTAAAGACAGTTTTCTGAATGTGGTGGTGCATACTTGGAATTTAAGCACCCCAGAGGCTGAGCAGGAGGATTATAAATTCCAAAATGGCCTGGAATTCACTCTGTAGACCAGACTGGCCTCAGTCTCACAGAGATCTGCCTGCCTCAGCCTCCCCAGTGTTGATTAAAGGCGTGCACTGAAAACACCCAGCCCATGTCTGGGATTTTAAAACATATTTCTCTTCAGACAAAGTTTACAGATATGTGAACTCTAAAACTGGACAATAATTTTTCTGTTTTTATGAAATTAAGACCATTCAGAATAGTTTTCTAACATGACATAACAAGTATAAACACAGTTAAAAATACCCCCTCAGAACATTTTCTATTAGGTTGCCACAGTCCATGCCCTTCGGCTCACTCTAAAACTGTGCAGCACGTACCCTGTGATCATCTGTGTTGTCATGGAAGAGATGAGAAACCAAAGGTGCCTCAGAAACCTGGCGTTAAAAGCTAAACTGTAGAGAAGCCTGAAAACAAACAAGAAAAACAGGATAAGTAAAATTCATTCCAAATGCTAACTGAAAAACTACGCCACATAAACATGGAGTGAAGACACTTCACAGCCTAGAATGCTCACGTTGATGCAGGCCCCTTGAAGACACTGAGAAGAGCTGTGGGCCTGGCTGTAAGAAGGACTGGCCTTCACCTGCTGGGAACTGCTCTGAGCTGCCCCAGGGTCCAGTAGCCCCAAGAGCTTGGCTGTTCTTACCCAAGCTGAGGCTGCCCTCTCTGTACCATGGCATAATAAAACACAACAGTATTAATGTAACCTTGCTAGTGTGTTAGCACATACTTGTAATCCCAGCATTTAGGAGGTGGAGGCAGAAGGATCAGGAAGTCAAGACCAGTCATGGCTATACTTCAAGGTGGAGGCCAGCCTGGGTTACATGAGACCTTGTCTCTTCCAAGTGCTGGGACTAGAGGTGTGCATCACCACATCTGGCTGGATAAACATTTTTTTTTTTTTAAGTGCAAGATCAAACACTAAATCTCAGAGGCTGGAGAGATGGCTCAGTGGTGAAGAGCGCTGGTTGCTTCTCCAGAGAACCCAGGTTTAATTCTCAGCACCTGCATGGCGGATAACTACCATCAGTAACTCCAGTTCCAGGGGATCCGACACCTTCTGTCCTCCTTGAGCATTGCACGACATGGGTGCACTTACATACGTGCAGACAATACGTTCTCACACATAATATTAAAAATAATAAATAAAATATTAAAAGGATGGCTCAATGGCTAAGAGCACTAGCCACTCATGATTTCATAGGACCTGGGTTGGGTGACCAGTACTCACAGGACAGCTAACACCCAGTCCCAGGGGATCCGACATCCTCTTTTGGTCTCTGTGGGCATTGCATGCACGTGGTGCAGGCAAAACACTAACACACATAACAAAAATTTTTAACAAAAATTAAAAAAGATAAAAAGATTCATGGGATAAAAATTTAATACCATATATTTAGTGCCATAAAAGCAGACATTTTTTTTTTTTTTAAACTCTGTTTGAGACAGGGTCTCCTTGTAGCCCCAGCTGGCCTGGAACTCACCATGTAGACCAGAATGGACCAGATCCACAGAGATCCAACCTGTCCCTGCCTCCTGAATGCTGGTATTAAAGGCATGAACCACTACGCCTGGCTCTATATGAGGAATTTTTCAATATAAAAAAAATCTTAAATTTGATTGGTCTAGTAATTTCCTGAATTTAATGCAAAAATTCACATGCAATTCTTAGTATTTTCGGAATATACAATCAAAATTATTAATACTACTTTTAGAAATTCCACTTTTGAAGGCTGGGTATGGTGGCACATGCCTTTAATCCCAGCAGAGGCAGGCAATCTCTGATGAGTTCAAGGCCAGCCAGAGTTAAGTAGTGCAGTTGTTAGCTGCCATGTGGGTGCTGGGATTCGAACCTGGGTCTTCTGCAAGAACAGCCAGTGTTCTTACTGCTCAGCCATCTCTCCAGCCCCAGTGTTATGAACTTATAAAAATGTCTATCAAAGATTCATGATAAAGTGGTATCAAAACCTCACTAATTCCACAGTGAAGCAGAGTCTCCAAATTACACAGGAACTTCTATATACTTGGCACTGAGTGTGGTGGCGCATGCCTCTCGCAGAGGCAGGCAGATCTCTGTGAGTTCCAGGCCAGCTGGAGCTGCAGAGAGACCATTTCAAAAAAAGTCCTTTAAGGGTCATTGAGATAGCTCAGTGGGTAAAAGTGCCTGACACCAGACCTGACACCCAAATTTGATTTCCAGGATCCTCATGGTAGGATAGAACCAACTCCTGTAAGCTGTCCTCTGACACATGTACCATGACACACAAGTGCCCCCAATAAGTACCTAAGTAGTTAACAACCCACAAACTTTCTAAGTGAAAGCATCCTAAGAGGTGCTATGTGGCTGTTCCACTTCTTTTCAATCAGGAAGCTGAGCTGGTTTTTAAAAGTGTATTATGTATAATAATTTGACATGCTTTCAAGATACTTGTTTCTATCCTTTCTCTAAAAAGAAAAAAAAAACCTCAAAACCAAACAAGAAAAAAAGCAATTATTTCATCCCATCCACTCAGAAATAGTGCTAATATCCTGCTATATTACATACCCTTCCATGTATTTTATACATACATGAACAAGTGAAACAATTAGTTCTTCCCAAATATATCTATGACAGTTTTTATTAAGATGAACATCTTTTTGAGTGTGTATACATTTCTGAAACACCGTTTTAATGGCTACATATTTCCTTATATTCAAAACTAATCTTGAACTACTTATATTTATTCATCAGATGATAATAAAATATTAATTACTAGACTTTAAATTACTAAGGGTGATTTAGTTTGGAGATTCATTTCCAAGAGGTAAAGAAGTGACTTATTTTTTCCACATACTGAAATAGATTAAAGTCACTCATTACACATTATTCTTCTGTAACAATCCTGGTAAGCTAATTAGTGAGCAACAATTTCCTAAACTCAGACCAGTGCTCCACAGGCATATGAAGCCACAGAGGCAAACACAAGGAACATGTGGCAGGCCTTGAGAGCCTCTGTAAACAGCCTCACAGTATGCAAAAACGCAGCAAGACACCGGCAGGCCTACGACACCTGGGCAGAAAGGCCGCTTTGTACGTTTCTGCTTCAAGTACTGCTTTATTGGCAAAAAGGAATGTAATAAGATACTAACAACCCAGCCATGCTGTGGTGGCGCACGCCTGTAGTCCCAGCACTCCGGAGGCAGAGGCAGGCTGATCTCTGAGTTCAAAGCCAGCCTGATCTACATAGTGAATTCCAGGCCAGCCCCCACTACAGGGAGACCCTGCCTCAAAAACACCAAAAGGAAAAAAAAAAAAAAAAGATAAATCTAACAATTCACTTCTGAGACAATGCAAAACTAAACTGAAATATCTTCAATGATAAAAATTTTAAGACATAGTTCGCCTTGAGCAAGTGACTAAAAACCTTCCTCACAGACACACTAGGTGTTAATGATAGAAGACAGTCTTTACACACACAGCTGTGTTAAAGCTGAATTCCACTACTAAAACTATAACAAGTTTGAACAGACAATTCCCCTTTCGTTGTTAACTGGCTTTCTACTTATTTATAAGATTAATAGACTCAAAAAATATACTTTTCCAGCCAAGTGTAGCAACTGATACCTAAATACTTGGGAGGCTCAGGGAGGAGGACTATTGGGAGTTCCAGGTCAACCTGGGCTCATACTTAGCTGTAGGCCAACCAGGGCTACAGAGAAAGACCCTGTATCAAACAAATCAAACACACCCACACATAAGCCCCTCCCACAACCATTTTAATTAAATGGGGAGGTAATGTTCATCACTCAAGATGCGGTTTGACCCTGCCATGATTTACTATTCCTTAACACTACTGAAAGGAAACTTAACAGAGCCTCATAGCCCAGGATGACCTTGAAATTGCCCTGCTGCCAAGGATAATACTGAATTCCTGATATCCTACCTGAGTGCCATCACACCAGCAGTACTGAGAATCAATCAACATTCACAAAGGTTGAGAACATGCTTAGAAATTTTCCAAAACTTGGGACTGGAAAGATGGCACAGCAGTTAAGTGACTGGCTGCCCTTGCAGAGGACCCAGGTTCAATTCCTAGTACCCACATGGCAGTTAACAACCATCCCTAACTCCAGTTCCAGGAGAACCTGAAGCTCTCTGAGGGCACTGCATGACACGGGTGCACTTACATACATGCAGGCAATACATTCATACACAGAAAAATAAAAATATTTTGTTAAAATTTCAAAACTCACAATGCATTAGTGCTGATAAAACAGGCTATTAATTATTGTGTTTAACAACTACTTGAAATTAGCTTATGAATTTATAGGAAACCAAAAAATAGTTAAAATGTCTAAAAGCTTGTCAGTTTTTTGGGTCTTCATGAAGCAGAATCAATCTAACATGCATCAAGAGTTAAAGCTATTATACTGAAAATGTAATTTAAAATACATGAAATACTATGCAAAGAGATAAAATTTACTTATTTCTGTGTCCATGCACATCCTCAATGTTTGTTCTAAAGCATTATAAAAATCTGTTTATAAACCACATGATCAGTATACAATAGTTAATGCTGCATTTACAATGAAATAAACCTGCAGTTTTTCATTACAGTTCTCAGTATAACCATTTTGCCCTAAATTATGAAAGGATGAAACGTAACTCTGTAAATCAGGTTTAAGGAGAAGTCATCACTACTGCCTGTTAGCAGTGCTGAGAAAACACACGAGGAAAAAAAAGCCACATCCCACACAGCTGTCTGAACTTTGGAGATCAATAAAAGCACACAAGTCAGCGGATTCTATTAGTTTTAGTAGAAAAATCAAGTTTGTGCTGAGACAGAACTGACTTGGGTGCCTCGTGTCATGTCTGACATGTCAATAATGGGTCCATTCATCAGGATCTGGCATGGGTGGAGGTGTGGAAAGATTTCTGCTGGCAAACATGACAGGTCTCCCAGGACATTTCTCTAACAATTCAACAAGAATCTGGAGCCCCCAGGAGGTTATTAAATACAGAAATTTGGGGCTGGAGAGATGGTTCAGCAGTTAAGAACATTGGCTGTTTTTGCAGAAGACCCAGGTTCGAATCCTAGCACCCACATGGCAGCTAACAACTGTCTGTAACTCTAGTTCCAGGGGATCCAGCACCCCTTTCTGACCTCTCCAGGCACTGCACGACATGGGTCCACGTACCTACATGCAGGCAATACACGCATACACATAAAATAAAAAAAGAAAAAAAGACAGAAATTCAGGAGTCATCTGAATATTGCCAAAGCTACTTGTGTGAAAGAGATCACCCAGAGCACCAGCTCAGAGACAAAGGAAACAGAAAAGCCTGGGAGATTTAGACACAGAAAAAGAACCCAAGAAGGAAACTGAGCAAGAGCAGCCAAGAGTATCCGACAACCAGGAAGTTCAAGATGCCACCTATGAAAGGAGGCAGGTGAGAGGGCAGGACAGGAAGGACAACACAGGACAATCCTGCACTCCAGCCAGAGCAGCACCCCTCTGCAGCAGCCACTGTCAGTTTCACACACAGGGACTCCAGGCCAGGCTGCAGCCAAACCAAGCGGACCTTTGAAGTCTGACAGCACTCACTGAGACCTTCAGTAAACTTGGTAAGGACAAGTGTATAAAAGCACACAGCTCTCTCTAGGTCTGGTTTGCTTCTACCCTCTGCTGGGTACTGTACAAACTCAAAGCTCTATGAAGGAGCTTGGTAGGTGGGTTGAGAATTTAGCTCAGTGGCTGGCGTGTAAGGCCCTGGGTTCGGTTCTCAGCTCTCTAAAAAAAAAATAATAATAACGGAAGCAGACAGACAAATATTTCTTCTGTCTCCTTAGGCAAATCACACCAGGATCACCCAACACTGCGCAGTTTGCTGCACGAGGCAAGCAAAGCTGTAGTGACTGCTCAGCACCCCAGCAAACCTGCCCACAGTCTGTTCAGTAAGACTTGAACAGTGTGGCTAGAAATGGAAGGGTGAGGACCCCTCACTCATCTGCCTGACATTCCCTTGCCAATTTCAGATCTCTGGACAGTGCAATGATGCCCTGCCACCTTTATAATAGAAGTCGGATGATATTTACTCATAATTTAAAATAGTAAAAAATAAGTGATTATATTTTCTCAAGGAAAAAAAAAATGTGCATATGGTACTGGGTAAGCTATGCCATAAGGAAAAAATAATTTTAACCCCAAATTGTGCTCATATTTTAGATTTCAAGAGTTAGATACATCAGGTCAGGTGTGATGTGCATGCCTGTCATCGCAGCACCAGAGGCAGAGGTCGCAGAAGAATGTTTACAAGTTTGAGGCCAGCCTGCTTTACATATCCAGTTCCAGGCCAATCAGGGGTGTATACACAGCAAGGTCCAAGCTTTTAAAAAAAAAAGTCAGATACACAAATTGCTTCTCAAAAATGAGCTTGCAAGTAACTTACAATTTAACTAATTTAAAAAAAAAACCATAGGTTAGCCGGGTGTGCTGGCGGCGCACGCTTGTAGTCCCAGCACTTGAGAGGCAGCAGGCGGATCTCTGTGAGTTCAAGGCCAGCCTGGTCTACATAGTGAGTTCCAGGACAGCTGGGGCTACAGGGAGACCCTGTTTCAAAGAGACAAAAAACAAACAAAAAAACCCGTAGGTGCCAGGTGTGGTGGTGCACGCCTTTAATCCCAGCACGAGGCAGAGGCAGGCGGATCTCTGTGAGTTCAAGATCAGCCTGATCTACATATTGAGTTCCAGGACAGCTGGAGGTACAGGGAGACTCTGCCTCAAAAAGACAAAAAAAAAAAAAAAAACCCAAACCCCCCACATAGGCCACGTAGTACAAAACACAATATAAAGTTCCCTCTTGTGCTTTCCTGAGTTCTGTAGGTACATCCTATTTCTTTACACAAGCACATATCATCACCCTTTTCTCCCTTGAATGCAAGAACTGGGCAGTTGTACCAGGCGTGGTGGCACAGACCTTTAATCCCAGCACTTGGGAGGCAGAGGCAGGCAGATTCTGTGAGTTCAAGGCCAACTTGGTCTACATGTTGAGTTCTAGGTCAGCTAGGAAAAAAAAAAAAGGCTAAAAATCTAAAAAATAAACAAAAATTTAAAAATTAAATAAAAAAGAAGTGGCAGTTGTGTGGCGGTCTCTGCCTCTGCTCCTCAGGCCTGTGCGTGTTGCAGAAATCTCTCTTAGAATGCAAAGCCTCTCTACAGCCTTACATCTTGATGTCCAACGCTAGCTAAACCGAAACTAAGGACACAAACCCCAGCTCTGAAAATAAGAATATTTAAAAACAGAGGGCAAATTATCAGACTGGGAATGTTATTCTTGTCTTTTAAAGACTTAAAAATCAAAACTGAATGCAGTTAAAGCTTGTAATTCTACTTGCTGTTTCATGAGCTAAGAAAACGCCTCCAATTTTAAGCCATAAAATTCCTAGTTTCTAAGCCAGACATGTAGCATGTTACAGGCCAGCTGTGACTACAGGGAGACTCTGTCTCATAAACACCAAAAAAAAAAAATCCTAATTTGGCAGAGGAAACAGGACTGTACTCAGAAAACTGAATCAAAATAGAACGTTGCTTTATCTTTAAACCCCTTTGGAAGCTGCTCCCCACTGAAGATAATCAGGGCACTGATGTTCTTGTATGCAGTAATCACCACCTAAAGGACAGATCCCTTCCTACCACAGAGCACATCCTGGCTCAGGGCTGAGCCTCAGGTCTCACACCTGTCTCACACCTGGCCACTGCACTTGTCTATGAGGAGCGAACACTCATTAGAGCCCCTTACCTCCTCCCACACAGTGAATGGCAGAGAACCCAGGCAGCAGGTCACATTTTAAACTTGGCACTATGAAGAAAGTCTAACAAATTTAACACACTGGCTCTACTGCATAGGCTTGAGTCCAACTTTTAAAATGGTTCCTAACCAGGTGTGGTGGTGCATACCTTTAATCCCAGCACTTGGGAAGCAGAGGTTCCTCTCTGAGATGAGGTCAGCCTGGTCTACATAGCAAGTTCCAGGCCAGCTGTAGCTACTGGGAGACCCTGTCTCAAAAAAAGACCAAAAACTAAAAGCTAAAAATAAATTAAAATAAAATGAAATAAAACGGTTCCTGGGGCCTAAACATTTATATGCAAAACACCACTTCAAAGAGAAGCCAGCTAAGCTGATTTACTATCACATTCAGGGTCCAATAGCCTGTGTCCTTTATCAGAAAACAGATGAACTGGTCCCAATTCACACCCAATGTGTGTGCACCAACCCCAAGAGACCTGCCTGACTTTGGGCACCATCATGCGGTGCTGCACCATCAACGTGTGGCAGATGGAGGCCATCCTCGTGAAGACCTCCTCGCTGGCAGAGTCCCTCCACACCAAGTTCAACAGGGTGTTTGTCTGCTGCTTCGTATCCAGCTTTCTCAGACACTCCTCAGTGATGTATGGGGTTGAGACCCTGCCATCCTCCTGAAACACATCAGGGAAACAAGTGTGAGTGAGTGGGGTGCCACTGGAACTGGCCTATCCAACTAACATGTGTCATTACAGATTTTCAAGAGAAAACACAAAGGTGTACCTAAAAATTATCCACACCCCAGCTAAACTCCCAATACCTTTCCTAACACACACTGAGGTCACATAAATCCTCTAGAGACACGGCCACCTGGCATCAACTGTGCCTACCATAGTAACACAGCCACCATGGATACTCAGGTTTTGCCTATCAATCCAACACAATTTTTGCATTTACATATTTAAAAAAAAATTTAAAAAAAAATCATTTCACATATAATAGATTTGAGTTGTATAGGATAGAAAACTCAGTGAAACTATATTATCATCTGATGGCATTTCCAATTCATATTATGACATCAGTTTAACAAAGACAAAAACCTTCTAAGGATAAGCGTAATACATAATAAATCTGGTATTTGGTTTAAGTTCTCCAGGTGTGAGTCACTGAATAAAACCTTTGCCATGCAGTTTGTTCATTTAGGTATTAACCAAAGACACAGGCTTCTTTCCTGTGTGTGCATGTAGGCCTATACATTTACAAGAATATTTATGACTCTTCTTGCTGACTGCACTGCTTAGAAATGTGAATATATAATTTGTAAAAATTTACCTAGTCCCACATAGCTTTAGAGTAAATCTTTTTTTTTTTTTTTTTGAGACAAGGTCTTCCTACAGCCCCAGCTGGCCTAGAGCTCACTATGTAGACAGGCTGGCCTGGAACTCACAGATATCTGCCTCCCAGCTATGTGCCACCACGCCCAGCTCCTAGAGAAAAAATATATATATATATATTTATTGTTTTTAAAATTTTATGAGTGTACTGCCTGCATGTAGGAGGGGTACCCACATTGTGCAATGCCCACAGAGGTCAGAAGAAGGTGTTGGATCTCCTGGAACTGGCGTTACGGACAGTTATTAGCCACCATATGGGTGCTGGGCCACTCTCCAGTCCTGACTCTTTTACAATGCCTAAGCATATAAATATGCTTTGTTTGCTCTTAAGAATTACTTTATGGCAGATGGTTAAGTGCACTGGCTGCTCTTGCAGAGGACCTGGGTTTGATTCTCAGTCCACATGGTGGTTAACAACCATCTGTAACTCTAGTTCCAGAGGATCTGATACCCTCTTCTGATGTCCATTAACAGTGCACAACATGGGTACACTTAGATACACACATGCAGACAACATACTCATACACATAAAATAAAGTATTTTTTTTTGGCCTGGCGTGGTGGCACACGCCTTTAATCCCAGCACTCGGGAGGCAGAAGCACTCTGAGTTCAAGACCAGCCTGGTCTACATAGTGAGTTCCAGCTGGGGCTACAGGGAGACCCTGTCTCAAAGAGACCAAAAAAGAAAAAAAAAAAAGAAAAAAGAAAAACAAAAACAAAAAAACACCAGTGTTTTTTTTGAAGGGGATGGGGCCAGACCAGTTCGGTTTGACAGGGCTGCCTGGTCCTCAGACTGCAGAGCTAAGGTTGAAGAGCTACAAAGGTAGCTCTCCTGTGGCTGCTTACAGGGCTGCTAGGCTGGTCTGCTTCCTCACTGTCGTCCTCAGAGTCACTGGTAGAGTCTGGACGGCCAGCACCAGTGGGCGAGGCGGGCAGCTGGGAGAGGAAAGTCTGGAGTACTCGCAGATAAACCAGCAGGCCATCCTCAGAGAGCGCTCCTTTGAGAGACAGCACAGAGTCACTACAAAGCTACTTCAGATATGTGGGCCTCATTTCCTTCATCCTAAGTGGCAACTGTGGCATGCTCTGCAAAGTGTTAGGTCTTTGTCTCAGGGTACTAATCAGAAGGGTCTCTAGTCATTCTGGCAAACCCCTATTGATCCTATCTATTCAGTTAGCTCTTGCTAAAGGAAACTGGAAGCTTTAACAGCCTCAGGGTGGGGCTATTCCCCAGAAAGGAAGCAATAAGCAAGCTAGAGTTTTAAGCCCCATTCCTGGCCTCCAAGGAGGGGCAGGCTGGAAAAGTGCTATACAAACTAGAACAAGGTTCTGAGATCCTATACTCAGATGTGCAAGCTCTGCACCCACCACACAGATCCTGCCCAGTATATAACCACAGTTGGCTGCTCACCTGCAGCTGTTCTAATAAACTGGTAAGCATGTTTCCCAGAGTTCTATGTGCTACCCTAGTAAATTATCAGGTCCAAGGAAGGGGTTGCAGGAACTTCAGTTTTTACTACTTGGTCAGAAGCAGCACATGAAACCCATTTTGCGCATCTAGAGTCAGTAATGCAGGCAGTTTTGTGAGACTGAGCCTTCAACTTGTGGGATCTAGCCCTCTCTCCAGGTACTTAGCGTCCAAACTAAACTGCTGACGGTTGAGGGAAAAGTCCCCATGTTGCATCTTGGTCACAAAGATGTGGAATGTGAGAGTAGGCAAATAGCCTGGCTTCCCCTAGATTGCTAACAATTCATGATATCCATGTTAAAATGCCACCGCACAGTCCTTTGTTCATCTGCTCAGCTACCTACATGGGAGTTAGGTTTGAAACATCTTGTCTTTCATACCCAAATAGTTCTCGCCAACAGTTAAAACAAAATAGAAGAGCCACGGTGCCCTGCTGCTCCACTTTGAGCACCAACTCTCTAGTAACAACAGTGCATTCAGAAAGGGCTCATAAGGGAAGACGGTCTGGGCATCTGCCAGAGCTGGAATGACGAAATGAAGAATCTGATCAGTAAAAGGTGCTGCCAGAAACTCCTCAGTGAAGGCCGAGAAAACCTGATGCCTGGAAGGGGAAAAGGAACCAAAGCCACCAGTCACCAGGTCACACATTAAATGAGTTCCCCAAACATCCTCCTAAATAGATAATCTACAGATAACTGATATTCTACATTAAACAAGTTAATCATTTAATACAGACCAGAATTTGATTTTATGTCTCATAAGATAACTCTACCTTTAAAAAAAAATCACATAGGCTACTAGAAAGTGGGAAATAGCTGAATCATCAGAATTACACATTTATGTCAAGCACAGGTCAGACAGAAAGCACCTGCACCCTTCCCTGTGGAGGACACACTGATGAACACATACCCAAGTCAGGCTTCTCACCCACCTTGCACCTTCAGGACAGGAGCTGTATGTAAAGTGCAACGGTTTTAGGACATTCTCCAGCAAAATCTTTGCTATAGGAACGCGAGATAAATCAGAATATTCAATACTTGATGGAAGCTTGCTGTTAATCAACAAGTAGAGAGACCGATAATACCCTGAAAGAAAGGGAAAGATATATTTAAACTTCAGTGCCTGTTCCACAGCAAAGGAGAAACTCACACCAGCTTTAATTTTTTTTGCGGGGGGGGGACTTTTTGAGACAGGTTCTCCCTATAGCCCCAGCTGGCCTGGAACTCACTATATAGAGTCTTGAACTCACAGAGATCCGCCTGCCTCTGTCTCCCAAGTGCTGGGACTACAGGTGTGCACCACCACGCCTGGCTTTTAATTATTACATTTATCTTAAGTGGGGGTGGAAGTGAGGAGTTGGTTCTCTCCTTTCACCATGTAGAATGTGGGCATCAGGTCATCAGGTATGGCGGGAAAGTGTCTTTACATCATGAGCCACCTCAACCGCCCTCATCACTTTTTCAAAAAAACTTTTATTTATATTTTATGTGTATGAGTGTATTGCCTGCATGTGTGTAAGTGCACCCATGTCACACAATGCCTGCAGAGATTAGAAGAGGGCGTCAGATACCCTAGAACTGGAATTACAGCTGTTAGCTGCCACTTGGGTGCTGGGAACTGAACCCAAGTCCTCTGCAAGAGCACTCAGAGCTCTTAACCACTGGGCCATCTCTCCATCCCTGTCATCACTTTTTAAAAATCTTTTCGATCAATAGTGGGTAGGGAGGGTAGGGCGACAAGCCCAGGCTGGCACCAAACTCACAGCAAACCTCCTGCCTCTACCTTCCAAGAGCTGAGATAACAGGTGTCAGCACCACATCAGCCATGCTAATTCTTCTCCAACATTTTGCTAAGGAAAACTCTAAATGAACACCCAAATGGCAAATGACCCCTATGTCCACTGCTCGGCATCCAGCACGTCTACAGTGTATGCCTAGTACTCAGGATCCAGCATGTCTACACTGTATGCCTAGTACTCAGTATCCAGCATGTCTACAGTGTATGCCCACTGCTCAGCGTTGACCATGTCTACAATATGCCCAGTACTCAGCATCCAGCATGTCTACAGTGTACACCCAGTACTCAGCATCCAGCATATCTACAGTGTACGCCCAGTGCTCAGTATCCACCATGTCTACAGTGTACGCCCAGTGCTCAGTATCCAGCATGTCTACAGTGTACGCCCAGTGCTCAGTATCCAGCATGTCTACAGTGTACGCCCAGTGCTCAGTATCCAGCACGTCTACAGGCTCCACTCACTGGTTTCCCTCATTCCGAAGCAAATCTAAGACACAGTTATTCTGGCAGATCATGAACAGAAAAGGACTGAATCTTTTTCTGGGGGGAAGGCTGAGGAACAGGGTCTTACTATGTAGCACTGGCTGCTCTGAAACTTGCTATGTAGAGCAGGCTAGCCTCGGACTCAAGAGATCTACCTGCCTCTGCCTCTTGATTGATGAGGTTAAAGGTGTACACCACCACTCCCAGTCAGATAATGGTCTTCTTAAGAGTCAGTTTTGGGGGCTGGAGAGATGGCTCAGTGGTTAAGAGCACTGGCTGCTCTAGCAGAGGGCCCAGGTTTGATTCCCAGCACCCACATGGCAGTTACGAACCATTCTTAACTCCAGTTCCAGGGGAATCCAAAGCCCTCTTCCGACCTCCGCAGCACTGCATGACACAGGTGCACTTACACACATGCAGACAATACACTCGTACACATAAAATAAAAATAATAAATAAAATATTTTTTTAAAAAGTCAGTCTTGCTGGGTTAGGGTTCTACAAAGAGACCCCATCTCAAAAACCCAAACCAACCAACCAACCAACCAAAGAGACCATTTCCATAGCTAAAGTAAACTAACTACAATTCCTTAATGTCACAAATAGGATCAAGTCTCCAACTGTCTGGTGTTAATTTTATTTATTCAACTAACATGCTTGACTCTTGAACCCAAATAAGGCCCAAACTGTGCCCTTTTCCCCAAGCACCTCAGTATGGAACTCCCTTAGGTGCCACACTGGATTCCCGGGTCTAGACATGCTGATATGCTTCAGTCTACAGTAGCTGCTGCTACCAAGTGGCTGCCATTAGCAATTCTCTAATGGACAGGATGCCTGTCTTGCTCTCCTGGCCTGACCACCACCTGCTTGTCTCAGGGGCTCTGAAGATCCTTTTAGAAAAAGCACCACACTTAAGAGTTAGAGACCACAACCTGGGTACCAATGAACTCAGGACTTCAAGGTACCTACACAAAGGCAGACACACAAGTTTTGTAATCCTTCTTGCATTCCTGTCTCAACATCTGAAGGGATTTTCCAGTTATAGCAAACCTTATCTTGGCTTGGGAAAACCATATATTCTCTTAGAAATACTCCTTTTGGTAAAACAACAAAAATGATATTCAGGCCCTATAAATACTTCATTTCAGGCACAGATCTGACAGCACACATTTTATTTTTTTTTATTTTATGTGTATGCGTGTATTGCCTGCATGTAGGTAAGTGCACTGTGTTGTGCAGTGCCCGTGGAGGACAGAAGAGGCTGTCGAATCCCTTGGAACTGGAGTTGTGGACAGTTGTTAGCTGCCATGTGAGTGCTGGGATTCGAACCCAGGTGTTCTGCAAGAACAATCAGTGTTCTTAAACGTTGAGCCATCTCTCCAGCCCACCAACAGCACACATTAAATGTACAATCCATCTACTTGGTGCACAAAGTCTTGCACCTGAGCTACGGCTGCAGAGGAGGATCCAGTGCTGTTATCAGAACTGCGTTGTAGCCAACTGTGAGAGCCCATCCTGTCACACCAGCACATGGGGGGCAGATCATGGAGACTAGCCTGGATGACAACAGTGACACCTAATCTCAAAAACCAAAACCAGCCAGGCATGGTGGTGCATGTCTTTAACTTCAGCACTTAGGAGGCACAGGCAGGTGAATCACTGTGAGATTAAGGTCAGCCTAGTACATAGTGAGATCCAGGCTCGCTGGGGATACAGGGAAACCCTATTTCAAAACAACAAAAACAAAACCAAGCAAAACACAAAACAAAAGAGCACTTTGGATCACTGTGATTCTAACCTTGTAAACACTGATTTCCAGTAAACCCAATAAAGAAGCTGGGGGTATTTTGTCTGTAAAACTGAAAAAGGATAAATACATTTTTTTTTCCAAAGAAAATTTGAATAAAACTTCAAAAGTATCATACTACCAATAATGTACATGCTGAACACAGTAGCCAACAGCAAGCCCAGAGCACTAAGTTCTCTAGTAAACTGTAGACAGTGTCAGAGCACAGCGTTCTCTAATTGAGCCAGAATCTTTTATTTATTTAATTTTTTATTTTATGTATATGAGTGTTATGCCTGCATGTAGGTAAGCGCACCTGCATTGGGCAGTGCCTGTCCCCTGGAACTGGAGTTATGGGCAGTTGTTAGCGGCCATGTGGGTGCTGGGATTTGAACCCAGGTCTTCTGCAAGAACCGGTGTTCTTAACCACTGAGCCATCTCTCCAGTCCTAAGAGCTATAATCTTTAAGTAGGAAGCTAACATCTATAGATTATAATGTCACAAAGTAGTTTGTTCAAACAACTGAAAGAGCCACAGCACTGCAGACAACAGAGCAGCAGTTTCAGTGGAAGGTTAGACAGTTCAGATAATGCATAGCTCCTGGTTCTCTTCCTAACAGCTTAGAAAAACAAAAGTAAATTCTCATCAAATGCTTAGTCTGAACATGACAGTACAGCAATTCACTCAAGAGGCTACGTCCATCACAATTTTATTTCTTAGAACATCAAATTCCAGAAATTTCACTCTGATTTTAATCAAGTCCAAATCTTACAAAATTTTCAACCAAGTGGTTTTGGATTTTTTAAACTTAGTAAGCCAAACAGTAAAATGTGTAAGAATCTAATTTTTGTAGTTTTAATCAGTATCAGCTAAAGTTAATTTATATACTTTGGCACTTCAACACAACAAACGGAAGTTTATTTATTTTTAATTTTAATAGTAACCTTCAAGAACCACCAATAACTGCTCCTTTTTTGAGATAGGGTCTCACTATGTAGCCCTGGCTGACCTGGAACTTGCTACGCACACTAGGTTGGTCTCCAACAAAGATCCTTCTGCTCCTACCTCCAGAGCACTGGGATGAAAGACAGGAGCCAAACACACCTTGCAAATGTAGCTCCTTTTAAGATTAACCAGATATGCGTTTGTCTGTTTTCTAAGACAAAATATGAAGTGCAGGTGATAAAGAGGCTTTTCATTTCCAGCTTAGCAGCCTTCAGTTCAAGGTCACGATGTGCTGTTCGGAGCTGTGCCACACCACAAGCATGCCCACCTGCACAAGTCTGCTCCAGTCACTTACCATTGTGAATCATGTAGTGCAAAATTTGTTCAATCACTGACACCACATAGCTAGCATCTTGAAGAACAGGCAAGTAAGTATTCTCAGATGAAAACACCTCAAGCATTCTCATTGGAAGCGCGACATTCAAACTGTCATCATTGCAGTTCTGCAGCAACCTGTAATAACAAATTCACACATTTACTGGAAAGCCAAGGGTGCCAGTCTCTCCAGACTGCTGCTGTGGCTGCAGTAAACACTTGAGCCACTGGCCCACAGCCAGCGTCCCTGAAAACAGTCACCGGGCTCAAGCACAACATTCAAAATTGAGTCTTGCTATGTGTCATCAGTACCCCAGAGCAGGTCAACATGAAGTGTACGATCCCCAAGATAGAAACAGACAAAGAAAGTCAAGACTATACATACAAAAAGAGAAGGATCACAATCCATAAACCAGTCCAAGAGAAACTGCATCCTTCACCTGGGCAACAAGTACCTGCATCTGCAGAGGTGCCTTTAGACCTACTCGGACCTGCAGCGCCTGGGACCATAGGCCACAGCATGCTCTTTCTGGTCCTGTGTTACCTTCACTGAAGCCTCCCCTCTTGCTAGAAGGAGGCAGAGGGAGGCTTAGCTGCCACACATTTCAGTCTGATTTAAAAACAGACTCCATGGGGCTGGACAGATGGCTCAGCAGATAAGAGCATTGGCTGCTCTTGCAGAGGACCTGGGTTCAATTCCCAGCACCCACATGGT